TTGTTATTTTCTCACCTGGTCCATTATACTCCTGTGCCACCCCCCTAGTCCCATGCATTTCCCTCCCTTCCCCCCCCCCCCGTTTTTGATCCCATTCCGAGGTGGCTCAGTTTTTAACCTTACTAGGTGGTACCCCAACACTTCCCTTGCTTTACAGGGTTCCTTGGTGACCTCATCCGTGGATCTCTCGAGTAAATGCTGAGCGCTGTCCCACCTGGGCCTCGATGCATCGCATATTCAGGTCTGTCCCGCCACTTGTGTGTTCCCCAGACTGTGAACACAACAAATTGCAAACAGGAACTTTCCCCAAAACAGCTCATGTCGTATACTCCTTGAGATATAAGAGAAAACAGAGTGGAGCTGGGCGCTGGACTCTGCTGTGAAGCTTTAGTCCCGCGGGGTCTCCCTGGTCAATGCCCCGTCTTCTGGTCTCTGCTTTTGCTGTTATGTTCTGTGGGGCAGCCTCCTCGCTCTTCGATGACTGCGATAGCTCCTTTTTACCTTTTATTCACCCCCAAACTATCATCACTGAATCTGAGGTACTTCCTTAGACACGACTTGCTGTCTCTTACTTTTGACTACTCCTGGTTATTCCCAACATAAGTTTAATCAACGCCCGTTGAATAAACAGACTGTAAGCTGAACATGTGGGCTGAGAATCAGAAATGCCAAGAGTTGCTCAACCACGTGTGAAGCTATTTTGAGGGATACTTTGATTTTTCCCGAGGTGGGGAAGGTGAAATGCAATCCGTGGTCACTGTGGCTTCTTCCCTCAAGGGAAAGTACTGGGAGGAAAGAATAAGTCTGCTACTTTTCTGGAAGGTGCTGCTAAGGAAAACACAATGAAGGGTACATTCTCCTTTAGAACAAAGCCATGGACTGAGCCAGAGATCTTGTTCTGCTTCCTTTGTAGTGGGAGATGACAGGTCAGGGAGTGCACGACTGTCTTGAACAGATTCCTCAGTGTCTGGGCTCTGTGTGCAGGAAGGAGCTCTGGGCAAGCAGTGGCTTTGGAGACTACAGCTTGGGAATAGAACTTACTGTAATTAGGGGACCCTGAGGCCACCGTGGGAGGAGAGCAGCATGACAGTGATAGTGACGGAAGCACCATGAGCAGGGCCGAGCAGGGCTTCCTTGACTAGCAGTGGCAAGCGGGGCCCCCCAGATCTGGATGAACTGCTTTCTTGTGCTCAGTGCTACACCTTGGTTGGCCCGTGGTTTTCGGCCAACTGATAAGAGAACTTCAGCAATCATGAGGGAATTCTCAAGAAAATGCCAGTAGAGCACAGAAGGATTGCTTAGAACCAATAAATGTGACTTTCTAAGTAAAAATGCAACAGATCAACAGATAAGGAGATGACTCCTATTGAGTACCAAATTTGTGGTCTGAAAAATCAGAATTAAGACACATCTATGAAAGCTCAGAAATAAAAATTTAAAGAAAAGGGACTTGTAGGATAGATCTGGGAAACCTAGTATAAAAAACAGAGATTTCAAAAGAAGCACATGAATAAGTAAATTCAGCTGATGCCCCAGGCTTCCCTGAAAGCTGTCCTGAGTCGCTCATAGGATTCATTAGAAAAACTGCTCGCTAGTGTCTGTTGGGATGGTAGGATTCCAGAAAGGCAGAGTGCTGGGAGCCACTTAACTACCAGAGCAAGGTGGGCGTGATTGCTGTGATAGACGTGAGGTTGCAGTAGAACTAAGGGACCTGACCCTCAGGAAGCAGGAAACCATATGAGGTTTAGGGACCGAGCAGCTCCTAAGAGTAAGAGGTGGGTAACCAATGAAAGTATTGCCAGGGGCTGATGACAGCCATCACGACAGAAAATCAGGATCCCTTGTCCAAGTCTAAGAGTGGATTCAGGAAGAGATTGAAGAGAGATTGAAGGATTGAAGAGAGCCTGGTTCCCTTTGCAATGGAACCCTGCAATGCCATCCTAAGTATATTCAATGAAAGTTTCTAAATCCTTTCTAAAGAGACGTATGGCCATATGCCAAGTAACCACACACTAGGGAGAATACCTGGATTTTCAGAGGGTCTCAGACACCATAATGATGATGCCTGATATACTGGGGGCCAAAGGGAAGCAAGGAGTAACGGCTTCTAGTAGGTTTATTGTGATGCTGCTTTTAGCATTTTTTTCCAGAATCATATAGTTATTATGTCTAAAAGTATCATTCCTTTTCAGTTTCCCAGACTGGAAACCTTAATTTTCAAGTCTCCTTCAGTCCCACATCCCTTCAGTTACTGAATGATAACTGAACTTCTAAAATTCATTGTTTAAAATGACTTATTGTGTAACTCTTGAGACAAAGAATACATTTAACTTATCATGTAAGTTCTGAAGCACAATTATGAATTCTTTTTATCTTCACAAAGAATGTTATTAATAATATTGAAACTCTGTGATTCCCCTTTTTTATCTCCTTGCCTTTTCCATGAAGCTTTTATAAATATCTTTCAATTTACTTAGATCTTTGTTTCTACTTTAATGTAAAATTTTATGATTGTTGGATTGTTTCTAGGTTCTTGTTTGGTATTATAAATCGTCTTTATTAAGTTATATGTTAAAATTGTTTATTCCTCATATATGAAAATGCAATTGATTTTTTAATATTATGATCTTATATTTAATTGTCAAGTTCTCTAAAATACAATAGGTTTAATGAATTTGACAATTGATTCTTTGGCTTCTCTACATAGATAATCATATAAAATCAATGATCTTTTAATTTTATCTTCCCCAATCTTTATAACTACTGTTTCTTTTTCTTATCCTACTGTTCTCCCCAAAGACTTCTATACAACATTGAATTTTGTTTTTGTTTTTGTTTGTCTGTATGATGCTTCTACTGTTCACCAGTAAGGGTGACTTTTGATATCTTTTTCTGGGGGGGGGCAGGGATAAAAGCAATTTATTAGCTTACTAAAGCTTCTGTTTCTCTTAGAGCTTGCTAAAAGTTTTTCTTTTTAAAAATAACTGAATGCTACAATTTAAAAAGTGTGAATAAGTGTTGAATTTAATTTCTTTATGAATCTTCAGGCAAATACAGATTTTTAACTAATTATTACCATACTTAATTATTACAGAGTTTAAAAGTCATTTTGGGGTTTTAGAAGTTATATTGAAGCTAATATTAATAGACAATTATTGTTAATAAACTGAATGTATCAGAAATGTAGCATCTTAAAATTTAACTCAGGTTATGTATTAAGGCAACATTATAGAGTACAGTGATTGTACTCATGATTAAGATTAAGAAAAGAATTATTAAAATAATTAGTTTAAAATTATTTGAATATCCATATGAATGCAGGTGCCCATCCATATATTTAGAAGGATCTTAAATAATGGCAAGGGTAATAACTTACTTTATTTCTAAGGCAGGCATAAATAATTTAGGAGGTTTCATTCAGTCTAACCTTTTAGGAAGACAAATGCAAAGTCTTACATAAACTATAACTCCACCTTTG